CAACGTATTCAATAAATAAATAAAACGGGCACGCCAAACGAGGGGTGGGAGAAGGACATGGCGTGGGTCGGTAGTACACGATGCGGCGCCCAGCATGCTCTATCATGCGTCGCACCCACAGTGGCCGAGCCGACCGCCGCTCGAACTGGCGCCGAGTGGCTCCCAGACTCGAACTGGCGCCGGCAGGCTCAGTCGCACCGTCGCGGGGCGAACGCGAACCGAGCCGTCGCCGTTCGCCGCAGCCGCCAGCCGCCAGCCGTCAGCCGTGCTGAATCGACCAGGGAGCGCAAAAAAAAAAGAAAGAAAACAGACAACCCAAGGGAGGGATGGGAGGACGGCACGCCGCCACCACACAGGGATTTTAAGGAGAGGAGTGTGATGCGCTAGCAGTCGCCCACCCTAGGGAGTCTGCCTCTTCCTATCTCTTTTCGCAGGGAGCGCAAATTGTGGCCAAGGGAGCTTCTAAAGGTGTACCTGTGTTAGTGCCAGTGCGAGCCAGTCCCGTAGGTAGGTAGGTAGAAAGGTGAAGAACAGCCAGGCTCGGACTGGACACCAACGCGGCATGGGTGGACGCGAGACAGATGATGACGACACGCACGAACGACACACAGACACAAACAAGCTCACAAGACACACAGCCAGCTGGCTGCCACACACCCTGAGTTGGCGTATACATAACTCAGGGCCACATTCTTCCTGTCGCCTCCCCCAGCACTCCAAGGTGCCAAGAGAAACAAACAAGGGCACAACAAACAACAGACGACAGGAAGCAACGTGCGAGGCTAGAGCAGGCTTGCTCGTCCTCTAGCAATCTCCGCCGACCGCGAGGCCGGACTAGACCGTGTGTGGGGTCATGTGAGGTGTCTCTGGTCACTCTCCTCAGGGGCTAGCCACCAGCGGCCAGCCCTATCTCGCACTCACTGGCGGTGACAATTCTATGGGTGAGGTTACGCGAGCAGAGGTGCGTGAGCCGATTCTCGATCGCACGCCCTTGGCATATAACTTGGCTTGGCGTGCAACCTCAGCGCGCCCGCCGTCAGCTTGACGGGGCGCGCATGTCAGTCCCGTGCCCAGTCCTGTGCCCAGTGTCGTGCGAGGGAGTTTTGTTGGAAAATCTTTTTCTCGCGATGTCCACCCCGCCGCGCAGCTGGCGCCGCTCGCGCCGCCTCGCCCCCGCCTCCACCGCCGCCAGATCCTCGCAAAACACGCCGCCGCCCATCCGCCTCCTCGACCTCCCCACGGACCTCCTCGTGCGCGCCCTCTCCCGCTGCGACCCCGCCGACATCGCTCGCGCCGCGGCCGTCTCGCTGCTCTTCCACGCCTCGCTGGCGCTGGAGGGCATCCGCTTGTGGGCGCAAGAGCGCGGCTTCGAGCTGCCGGCGCAGCCCGAGGGCGAGAGCTGCGCCGTGCGGTGGCTGTGCTTCGCTGCGCTGCTGCGCGAGTCCAACCCGCCGGCGAGGGCGGCGGCAGGCGCGCTGCACAGCCTTTTCATCGACAGCGAGGGGCGGCTCTCGTCGTGCGGAAAGGCTGAGAACTGGCTGCCGGGACTGCTCGGGCACGGCGAGGGCGTGACGCAGCTCAACACGCCGACCCGCCTCCCGTCGACGCTGGGCGGCGAGCGCGCCGTGAGCGTGTCGGCTGGAGCCGGGCACAGCCTCGCCCTCACCGCCGGCGGCGCTGTCTGGAGCTGGGGCAGTGGAAACTTTGGCCAGCTGGGCCACGGCGACGAGCAGAACCAGTGGCAGCCCGAGAAGATCGAGGCCTTTGCTGACCAGCGCGTCGTCGCCGTGTCGGCTGGAGGGGCTCACAGCCTCGCCCTCACCGCCGATGGAGCCGTCTGGAGCTGGGGCGGTGGAAACTTTGGCCAGCTGGGCCACGACAACACGCAGCGCCAGCTGCTGCCGAAGAAGATCGAGGCCTTAGCTGGCCAGCGCGTCGTCGCTATGTTGGCTGGAGCCATGCACAGCCTCGCCGTCACCGCAGACGGCTCCGTCTGGAGCTGGGGCAATGGTCTCTACGGCTGGTTGGGCCACGGCGACGAGCAGAACCAGCTGCTGCCCAAGAAGGTCGAGGCCTTTGCTGGACCACGCGTCGTCGCCGTGTCGGCTGGATTCGTGCACAGCATCGCCATCACCGCCGACGGCGCCCTCTGGAGCTGGGGCCGTGGAGTCTCTGGCAAGCTGGGCCACGGCGACCAGCAGAACCAGCTGCTGCCGAAGAAGGTCGAGGCCTTGGCTGGCCGGCGCGTCGTCGCTGTGTCGGCTGGAGGTCTGCACAGCATCGCCCTCACCGCCGACGGCGCCGTCTGGAGCTGGGGCTATGGAGGCGATGGCCGGCTGGGCCACGGCGACACTCAGGACCAGCTGCTGCCCAAGAAGACCGAGGCGTTGGCTGGCCAGCGCGTCGTCGCTGTGTTGGCTGGAGGCAACCACAACCTCGCCCGTACCGCCGATGGCGCCGTCTTCACGTGGGGCCAGGGCGAGCGCGGCTGCCTCGGCCACGGAGAGGACCTGTCGAACCAGCTGCTGCCCAAGAAGGTCGAGACGTGGGCGCCGGGGCAGTGAGAAGCCCGCGCAGTTGGACAAGGAGGGGGTGCTCCGGCTTCTCGCGGCGCTCTCAACGAGGAGAGGATTCGGTTCGGCGTCACGGCGGGGCCGAGCCCGAGGGTGGGTGCGGCGGCGGTGGCGGCGGAGGCGGCGGAGGACGAGGCTGGTGTTGGCTGAGGCCGTCGCCGAGGTGGCGACCGCCGAGACTGCGGCGGAGGCTGCTAGGGCGGGGGTGGAGGCGGCGACCGCCGAGGCCAATCGGTCGGCCGTGGCAGCTCGCTCTGATGCGGCGGCCCGGCTCGGCGTTCGCCGGGCTGGTCGGTGACACTCTAGAGGCTGCTCGAGGGCCAGTCCATGTACCTCGCCGAAGCCGCAAACGGCACGCTCCTCTCAGCTGCCGCGGCTCTCTCACCGCCAGGCTCCATCGTGTGCGTCGGATTCATTGGCGACGCGAGCAAGGCGCCGTCTTCTGCACCCTTCACTCCGGAGCCCGCGGCGTTCGCTGCCCTTCTGGCGCGCTGCGGTTGGGGAGAGCTGTCATGGGCTCGCTTTGGGGACCCAGCGCTCCACTTTGGGCGCTGGCCTGAGGGCGGGGCGCCCGAAAAAGAATTGCTTTTTATCCTGCGAAAGACACTACTCTCCCCCTCCCGTGAACCCGTCGCTCGTCCCCCTTGGCGTGGCGCGCCTCTCCCCCAGCGCTGCAGCGCTCTCGGTATCGCGTACTGCACGAGGCTACCGTGGGCCCCGCCTGCGCGCTGGGGGTTCCCTGCCCTGTCGGGAAGCCTAGCTCTTAACCTGGGGTCGCTACCTAATGCGGGGCTCCTGGACGGGCGATGAAGTTCGCCTTGAGTCTCTCGTCTCGCTTTCCCCCCGACTCGCGATTCTCGCGTCCGTCGGGGGTACTCCCTACCCTCTGGCTCTCTGATCTCCCCCCCCCCCCCCCCTCCTTCCCTCTCCGGGAAGAGATGCGCACTGCTGTCCCTAGAGGGGGGTCGGGTGGTGTGGGCATAATTCGGCTCGTGTTATTCGCGGTCACCCACGGACGATCGTTGGAGTGGGCCGGAGGACAGAGGCTTGCTTGTGTGGGGGCGCGCGGGCGCCCACTCAGGCTCGGCCTCCGTTGAGCGTTGTCTCAGCCTTCAGTTCACCTCTCCTAGCGCCCGGTTTGGTGTGGTGACCTTCATTTCGGGGTCGAAGGTGCTACACACACACTTGCCCCCTGGTGGCTGGCATTAGAGGCGTTTTCCAAAAGAATTGATCTCGGCAGAATATTAGAATTTTACGACAAACTCCCTCGCACGACACTAGGCATATTAGAATGCACTACTCGCCCCCTTCTTTTTCGGTGGGGTCGAAGGTGCTACACACACTCGCCCCCTGGTGATGGGCGCTTCTGGTTGTTGCTCGAGGAGGCGGCAAAGTTGTTGTTTTCGGGGTTTGTTTTTCTTTTTGAAAAAAGAAATACCGAGGATAATACAGTGCGCACAGTACTGCGTGCGGCAGGCGCGGGCTCGACGAGAGGCAGGCGATTGTCGCGGAGTGCGGGCTGCAGCGCTGTGCTTGGACTGCGCGGCGTGCACATGTACCTTTCCTGTGGCTGTGCTGGGTGCTGTGCAGGCAGGCTGGACAGCGGACTCAACGGATGGCGGAGCGCGCGCGCAGCGTGCCCCGCGCGCGCTTCGTGCGGTGCAGGATCTGTGTCGTGTCTGGCGCGGGGCGGCAGGGGCGCAGCTGCGGAGCACGCGGGCTGAGTGTTCAGAGCAGGCAGGGCTGCTGCACAGCCTGCAGCAGGCTGTGCAGCAGCCCTGATCGGGTAGCGGAGCGCGTGCGCGGTGGCCTGCGCGCGCGGCGTGCCGCCGCGCGCGCCTCGCGGTGAAGCGTCCTGCCGGGCGCGTCGCGCTCTGGTGCGGCATGGTGCCTGAAGGAGTGTGCAGGCGCCTGTGAAACAGGCGCAGACTTCAGTGAGAGGCGCACTGCGGCGCGCGCGTCGCGGCGTGAGTGGTCGTGTAGCTGGCTCTGGTGGTGCGAGAGGCGGGCGGCTCCTGGTGCGGGCGGCTTGGCGAAGCCATGGGGTGCCAGCACAGGGCAGACGCACATGGCACAGCTCTGAAGGCGCTGCGCGTGTGTTTGCGTGCGCGCGGGGACACGTACGCGTGTGGTTTTCAGTTTTCACGTTGTGTGCGTGGAGAGGGTCATGAGGGGCGCCGGCCGCGCGTGGCTCGGCGTGTGGGAGTGTTGGGGTGCCCGGTAGGCGCGTGAAATGGTGCCCGAAGGGCGATCATTTTGGGTTGCTGAAGGAACTGTTGTTCACAGCTTCAGGGCCGGGCGCCCGGCGCGACGCCTTGCACGTTGCAGTGCTTCGGCGTCCGCGGCCAACGCGCCAAGCCGTAGTGCGTAGACCGAACGTTCACCAGACCGCGCGCTCGCGGGCCACCCCGCGCACGCGCACCGTGATTCAGTACTGTGCACAGTTTCGAATACGTTCATGTGCGCATAGTGTACCACGGCATTGCTTCTCTGTGCGGATTCGGTATTCGAAAGGTTTCTTCGCGCACAGTCGAGACTCAAGCACGTTCGCGCGCGAGCTCAGGACCCGTCGCCCGTGTCGGTGGGCGGCGGGGAGGGCGGCGAGTGTAGCCCCTCCCGCCCGTGCTTGCGCTGCAAGCCACCAAATCGCGCCAGTCGCACCAACATTACCGCGCCCCGCGCCCGCGCCCGCGCCCGCGCCCCCTGGCCGCGCCCTTGTGCCGCCAGCCGCGCGACTGCGCCGCCTCTTCCGCCGCCGCCGCCGCCGCCGCCTGCCGCAGCGGCTTCTTCATCTTCCCGCGGTCGTACTCCGCCTCGTACGCGTCGTACCTGACGGAAAGCTCCGAGAAGGCTCCGAGAAGTCTCGTGGATAGTGTGGCACCACCCGCCTCGGCGCACCTCCTCCTTCGCTTGCGGCCGGCCCCGCCTAGGGTGAGGGGAGGCCAAGTCACCGTCTCCACCTTCTCCACACGGCGCGAGGGCTAGTCCATCCCTCACGCCTCGATGTCGCAAGGCTGGAGCCCCCGGGGGCAAGGTACAAATCCGTGAGCAGGGAGCGTGAGTGTGCGCGCGCGTGTCTGTCTGTCTCTGTGTTGGCCTGCGCCGGCAGCCGCGTCGGCCGCCCGCCTCCGCGCCGCCACCTCGCCCTCGCCGATCCCCTCCCACACGCCCACCGCCTCCTTGAAGAGTGCGCCTCTCGGCGGAGCCCCGGCCCCTAAGAAAGAAACCGACGCCGCTAAAAAAAGAAATCGTGGCGCGGCGAAGGGGCGAGCGCCTCCAGAACACAGAACACGGGAGACGTGACCAACGTGCAAGAGACAGGGGAGAGCACCGCCCCGGAGGTCTGGGGGGACAGCCACATCTCCTCAGGATCTCGGCTCAGCTCTCGGTAACGCCCTCGCACCGCGCGACGTCGCCGACGCGCCGCCCGCGCGCGAGGCGCCTACGCGCCCGCTTAGGAGAAGGTACAGGGAAATGTCATGGAGAGGGGGGGGCGCGGCGGAAGCGAGGCTGGCACCGGCCGGACCGCCCACGCCCATTGCCCACGCCGCTCCGTCGACGTCTTCCCTCAGCGCAACTGCCGTACGAGGCACCCCTCCTCCGCAGTCGCCGCCTCCGACGCCAACCTCGTCCGCCGGTGCCGGAACCGGCGGCAGCATCGGTGATGGCGCGGGGGGGTCACCCCGCCAAGGCGGCCCGCCCGCCCGCCCCTCCCTCTGCCGCGCCGCCGCCGCGCCACCCCTCTTCTGCAGCCGGCGGCGTGGGAGGAGGCTGAGGCGGGGCATGCCGCCCCCGCCGCCGCCCGCCACCCGCCGCGCCTGCCGCGCCGCCCGCCGCAACGCTCGCACCGCCGCCACCTCGCCCGCCGCCACCCCGCCCGCCGCACCACCACCCTCCTCCGCCGTGCCCGCTCCCCCCTCCCCCGCCACCCCGCCCGCCACCTCCTTGCCTCCCGCCGCCCCATCCCAGACGCAGACGTCTGTGCCCGCGTCGCTGTCCGCATCGCCGGCCGCGCCGCCGGCCGCCGCCGCCTCTGCAGCGAAGGCTGGCGCCGCCCCGCGCGCCGGCGGGGGCGTGCGCACGTAGAAGAGCAGGTACGCCTCCGCCCCCACCGCCTGCCTCGCCGACGCTTGCCTCACCGTGTCGTCGTCAAACCTGTGCCACACGCCCGACGAGGCGCGCGCGAGGCAGTGGAAGTGGCCGACGTGCAGCTCGCGCCCCTCGTGGGCAACCACGGCGCAGAGGCGGTAGGTCAGCGGCAGCGGCGCGCCGCCGCCTGGCGCAAGCCCCGCACCCTCGCAGACTGCGGCGAGGTCGAGCTCCTAGGCACTGCGATCTCGGGTCATCTCGGGCCATCTCGGGCCATCTCGGGTCATCTCGGGTCATCTCGGGTCATCTCGAGGTCATCTCGGGTCATCTCGGCGAGGCCGAAGCTCCTCCTCGTACTGCACGGCGTGGCAAAGCTTCGACGCACCGCGCGCGCAGTCGTACCGGAACCGCTTCAGCTGCAGCACAAGAACGTGGGGCGTGTCGCCGAGCCGCAGGCGGCGGGTGCCCTCGACTTTCGCAGCGCAAGCCGCACACCAAAAGGAGTCGTCCCCCTTGACCGGCTCGCTCGCTGTGAAGTTGCGGAGCGCTCTCTCGACCGTCGTTGCCTAAGGCCAGGCAAGCTTCTCCACACACACACACACGGGGCGGTGGGGCAGGGGCCAGGCTAGTCCCTCGCGTCTCCACGTCTAGACGACAGGAGCCCCACGGCATTCAAAGTGCAAGGCCCAGTGCGCGTGGGTGAGCGGTGTGTGTGTGTGTGTGTGTGCGTGCGTGCGTGCGTGCTTGCGTGCGTGTGTGTGTGTGTGTGTGTGTGTGTGTGTGTGTGTGTGTGTGTGTGTGTGAGTGTGTGAGTTGTGTCCTTGCCTTGTGCAGCCCAAGAGAGAGGCCGGCGCTCGACTCGCGCGCTGTCGTGCTGCCGCCGCAGACGCCACAGGTGAGGGTCGAGACGAGGCTGCCTCCAAAGAGCTGGTCCACCTCGCTGGAGCAGCATTTCGGCTCGGCGCCACCCACGCCGTCCGCCGCCCCTCCGCCGCCGCACTTCCCTTCGGCCGCCGCCGAGCGCATACGACTGAGCAGGCCGAGGAGGAACTCGTGTGCGTCCTGCGGCCTGTCTGGCCGGAAGTGGCGTGCGATCAGGCGGAGCTTGCCTGCCATCGCCGTCGGGGCGAGGGACCGCGCTGCCGAGCCGTGCAGCTCGACGATCAGTGCCTCGAGCTCGCAGTACGCGCACCAGCCGAGCACGCGGCAGCCGCGCGAGTGGTGGCGCGAGAGGCAGAGCTGAGCCAGGGGTGGGAGGTGGGCGAGAGCCTGGAGCGCCGCGTTCATGAAGCACGTCTGGCCCAGGTTCGACAGGCCCGGGCCCGCGCCGCGGACAGAGGACCACCCGAGCATGCCCAGGAGCCGCTCCGGCGGGAAGAGAGGCGCCGGACCGGCTGGCGCGGATTGTGACGCTGGCAGCGCGCCGCCGTCGCCATTGCGGACATCCGAGCGCGCCTTACCGGTGGATGCCACGCCAGGGTTCAGCACGCGCACGAGCGCGGACGTGGCAGCCGGTTGACTCGCCCGGCGCGCTGGCACGAAGCGGACACGACGGCTCAGGATGTCGGGATCGACGGCGGCCGCTGCAACGTCGTCCCACATCGCACACTCTCGAACGGCGTGGCGGTGGCAGAGGCCTCACGAAGGTAGTGGAAGTGCGGCGGCTGGCTTCAACAGGCAGCAGCCAACACCCACGACACTGGGCAACGGGACTGGCGCCCGGGCACACACTCGAGCGAAAAAAGCGACTGCCACGAAGGCCCGCTCGCAAGGGACCATTGGGTTTGTACTATTAACAACGAAGGCGCTCTCAAAAAAGAAAAGGTTCCGATGGGGGGAGGTCCCGACAACGGACAAGCGCCGTACACTCACTTCGGTCTTTGCTCTGCGCGAGGAAGAGGCGACGCCAGGAGCGCGTGCCGCCACACACGCCGCGCCGGGGGACGTGAGATGCGCAACGCACGTGTTGCGTGTGTCTCGGCTCTCTGCACAGTCTGTGGGAATGCGACATGCGGGCGTACTAGAGAGACATGCAGTAGTAGCGGGGGCGGCGCGTAGGGAACCTCTCCGAGGCGCGGCTGTCGGCGCCGGGAGCCTCCCCGGCCTGCGCCGTCACTCCTTGGCCTTGCTGGGCAGCAGGGTGAGAGCGATGCGGCCCTTTGCATCGACGCTATCTACTTTGAGCCGGCCGCCCTCGAGCAGCAGCGAGCGCGCTGCGCCGCTCGGGGCGTCGGCGGCGGCCTTCACGTCCGCCAGCAGCCCGCCGATGACCGCTTTGCTGAGCGCCTTGGCGAGGCTGTCGGTGCTCGCCGCCGTCAGCTTGATCGCGCCTGCGCCTTTGCCGGCCGGCGGCGCCTTTGGTCGCGCCGCGGCATACTTTGCCTTCTCGGCGTCACCCATGCCCGACCACTGGCTACCGAGCGTCTTGAAGTATTCTGGCGTCGAGACGCCCAGCGGCCGCTTGCTCATCATCTCTTTGACGTAGGCGGCGTACGCGGGGATCGCGCGCTGCGGAAGCGGCTTGGCCGCCCGTGTGAGCTCGGCGCGTGCCGCGGCGATCGCGCTGGAGCTGCCACGGATCGACGGAGGCATGATGTAAACCCACGGCGCGGGAAAGCGGGTGGGGGGGGGGGGGGGGGATTCTTAAAACATCGCACAGCACACTGGCACGACAAGGGTTAGGGTGGGCGACGGCTAGCACCACACTCCTCTCCTGAAAATCCTAAGCGACTCCGTTAATTAAGTAAGAACGGCAATGCACTCCGCACCATGCACAATCAATGCCGCTCTCCCCGCCCGCACGCTAGCTCGTTCACCGTCTGCCACGCCACAGCGGTGTGGAGGACGACTGACAAACGCTGCATTTGCAGGCCGTGCCAATTCTTGGTTCTCCATGTCGCATGTGACCTCGTCCAGGTGCTAAGCATGCGAAAGTTTGTTGCTCAGCTGGTTCGCCGCCTCCCTCAGGGTGCTGCAGACCTCCTTTCCAAAGCCTCCGAAGCTCTCGAAGTCGAACAAACGCAGATCGCAATCTTGCTCCCGCGCAAAGCGGTAATCGCCAGCAGGCAGCTGCTTGAGCGGCCCCTTGGGGGCATCCGCATCCTCCCCCTCCCCTACCTCCTCCACCTCCGCCTCCTCCTCTCCTCGTCCTCCTCCTCCGCCACCGCGGCTGCCGTCGCTCCCGACGGCGAGTATACTTGCCGCGCCCTTTGACCAAATTGAGCAGCCCGGGCTCCGTGTTGCCGAAGCGAACATACGCCCCCTTCCCAGCCGAGCTCTCCGTCGCCGGCCGCGTCCTCACCACCCCGACCCCCCCACCCCCTTGCTCCCCTCCCCCCCCTCGGGAGGGCCGAACTGAGGCGCCCGTGGGGACCCCGCAGTTCCCTTCCCCCCTCGGAGGGGGCCGGACGAGGCGTACCCCGAGGGCCCCACTCTTTCCTTCGCATAGCGGCCACTCTTCGGATCGCTGGTCGAGCGACCCGGGGGATGCCCCGCGCGCCTGACCCAGGCGCGAAAAACGAATCTGCGAGGCGTGGCCGCTCGCGCGGCCCGATGGGGAGGAGGGGAAGACGTAGGGCGTGCTTGCGCGCCTTCCAACTGAGGCCCCTCCAACCCACCCGCGCTAGGTCTCGGGGGACGCAGGGGTCAGCCCCGCGCGACCTCGGGAACTAGCCGGGGCGCAGTCGGAGAAGGGGCAACTCCGTGCACTGACGGTCGGCCGTCAGAAAACACGCCTGCGTGGATCGCGTCACACCAATCCTCGCTACCCAACGCGGCCAAAAGGATATCCACCTCGAGAACCTCGAGAGAGACGCTGTCCAAAAGAAATGTATGAAGTGAGGACGTGCAACCTCCGCTCTGCCACTCCGCCCGCTCGCTGCCTGCAGTGGGTGATGACCGCGGCCTATTGGCGTCTCGCCTGGCTCCGCTACGCCCAGATTGTCGCTGTTTCGTCCCTCGCCGCTCTCGCCGCGGCGGTGCTGGCCGTGCATCTCCAAAGCGGACGCGACGACGACGACGACGACGGCGGCGGCGATGACAAGAGCAACAGGGTCGGAGGGCCTTCGCAGAGCAGGGTGCAGTTCGCTAACAACGTGTTTGCTGCCGTGCTCTGGCTGCTGGTGACCTCGGCCGTGCTCCTTGGGCCGTACACGAAGTTCTCCCTGCTCGCGCGCGCCGAGTGGAGCGGGCGAAGCGCCTTCGACCTCGCGCTGGCGCGCGTCATTCTCATTCTTCTGTACATGCAAGATTGTGCGTCGGATCAGCATGGGACACGCTGGATGACGGGCCACGCGGGCAAGTACACCGTCCGTATGGGCCTGTTGCCCGACCCCATGAAAGCGTGGGATCGCCATTGGATGTCACGGTGGATGTATGAGCCGCACGCAATGGGCCTGTTCACCGTGCTCGCTCTGCTTGGCGTCTGCGCGCGCCCGGCTCTGCTCGGCCTCGCGGTACTCGAGATGAGGAGCCAGCTCTTTCAGCGCGCCAACGGGCCGGGCCGCCACCACTCTGGTGCCATCTCCACACACTCACTTCATTCACGCACACGCGACACACTGACACCCCGCCTCATCTACACGCGACACAGTGACACCCCGCCTCATCTACACGCGACACAGTGACACCCCGCCTCATCTACACGCGACACAGTGACACCCCGCCTCATCTGCACGTGCGACACAGTGGCACACAACGAGCCCTCCAACGAACCCCCCTCACACAGGTCACCTCTTCCCAGAGGTCTTTCTCCTCTTCGCGCTCGCGCCCTGTGGGGACGCGCTCAATCTGTGCCGCGTCTCGCTCTCCGATCAGTACCAGTGGCAGCTCCATGGCTTACTGCCGCGTCTCTGCCGCCGAGGCGTCGCCACTGATGCCGCCGACCCCGCGACACGCGGGCCATCGCCCCACTACACGCTCCCGTTCATCTCTTTGCTCCTCCTGCTCGCCAGTGCGTACGCCTCTGCCGGGCTCGCCAAGCTAGTCGATTGCTACGCGGCGTACGAACGCGAGGACGCCACTGTGGGCTGGTGGGCACCCACAAGCATCTTCTGGACGTCGGACCACTTGAAGGCACTCTCCCCCCCTCCCCCCCGACGCTGCACGACTGGGCCCATCCCCGCCCTCACCCTTGTTCCGCCCCCGCCCTGAATAGGGGATGCTGCAAAACCAGCCGGTGCGCTCCTGCAGCGGCGAAGGGTGCTATCACCCCGATTCGGTCGTGTGGCGGCCGCTGTGCACCGAGACCGTCGCTCTCATCGCCGCGTGGGTGTGGCAGCGCTTCTCGTGGACAAAGCGACCCGCCATCCACGCATCATGCGTGCTCGGGAACCAGTACCTCTGGCCGGCGGCGCGGTTCGACTTGTTGCCACCAGCCTTCCTCCATTTAGCCGCGTTCGGCGCCGTGGCCTGGGAGGTGGGAATGTGGGTCGCCGTCCTCGCGCCCGGCCACAGGCCACGCGTGCTCGCCGTCTGCGTCGCATTCCTCTTCCACCAGTCAAACATCTGGATGATGCGCATTTTCTTTGACGAGTTTCAGGCGCAGTAGATCCCTCTAGGTGACGTTTGCACAGACACGCGCCCGTCGACTGTAAGTGCCCGGCGCCCGCACCTGTGCACAGGACCTCTACGCCGTTTGGGCGGCACCCTGGCTCGCGCTAGCGTACTCGCGGCTGCGCGGTCGACGCGGCCGGAAAGCGGTGGAGGCGGAGGAGGATCAAGCCGGTGAGGCGGACATGGCGCGGCTTCTCGCCCGAGAGGGGGGCGGCGAGGACGGCGCCAAAGCCCCGCCTCCAGCGCAGCGGCCTCCGGCGTCTCGGCGCGCGATGCACCTTCTGGTCGCGGTCTTCCCCATCCTGCTGGGGACTGCTCGCTACTTCGCCCCCAAGTCGTCCTACCCGGTGATGGCTCGCCCGCTTTGCTTGGACGCTCCTGTAGATGGCGCCCAGGCTGGTAAATAGCTCTCTGGCAACAAGTCCTAACAAAATGCCGTCCTGTCGACGGCAGGTGGCGAGCTTCCCCTCGTTTTGTGTCTCGGCTAAAGCTCGAGCCGACTGGAGGAAGGGCAGGCCGGCAAAGAACCACTCCATCACGGCCTCGTTCTCTCTCGTCGGGGCGTGGACCGATAGGTGTGCCGAGCGTTTGAATGAAGGCTGCCACTACTAGGTGCTGCGCGAGACGCGCCTGCTCGCCGCGCGTCCCGGAGATGCCTCCTCGCCTACTACCCTCCGCTTCCTCGCGCGCGGGCACTTCCACCAGGTGGCGGACAGCGGAAACCAGTTGAACAGGCCGCCTTTCCGATTGGGCTGCGACGAGGGGCTCAAGGGCCGCGTCGACCGGCTGCTGGATGACCTCTACTCCAAGCCGCGCCGGTTTGCCTCGAGTGACGGCGGCTGGGACGGCGATCCGGGCACCATCACGCACCTGCAGTTTCTGGTGCGTGCCACACTCCCGCGGTCGCCCATCCACCCGAGATGTGCACGATGCTCTTGCGATATGGGATCCCGCGGTCGTACTCCACTTGTCAATGGTGCACATGCATGATCACCCAGACTTGCAGAACTCACACGACTATACTCGTGCCTCTGCGCAGGTGTCCAGAGTCAAGCTCGACGGGCAAAGTCTGCGGGCGGGTCTGGACACGGCGAAGAAGGTGGAGCAGATTGTCCAGGTGTCGGTGCCTCGCCGCACCGTCGCGTCCGACGCCACCAAGGCGCGCGGTGCCGCGAGCGCCATCTCGCCAAAGAGGGCCCCCTTCCTTCGGGCGGTCGCGGATGCGCCAGAGTGGGCGCGAGCGTGCCCGCCTCCCGAATGGGACACGAAGTGGCTCCTCTGTGCGCTCGACGACAGCGGCAAGATGGGGGAGGTGCCACAAATGTGGCCGCCGCCGCAGTGGCACCCGTGCGCCAAAGGCCCGTGCGACCTCGCTTGCCCGTCCCGGGCCGTGGCTAACGCTTCGGCTAGGAAGTGAGGACGGCAGGCCACACATGAGCGGCCGCACACTGCTCGGTACCCCCCCTAAGCTCATGCACACCTAAGCCCATGGCCGACCCCCCGCCCCCCCCCCCCCCCCAGCAGCAGCGCTCTGCCTGTGGGGGGTGCTGGCATCTCTGTGCAGGCAGCTGTATTGCAATAAGTAGCATGCGTTCCAAGCGGCGAGAATTTATGGTCGGCACCAAAATCAGTGGTCTTTTCGGCGGGCCCTCCTAGAGTACCGCACGCCAGCCTCTCCTTCTACGCCTCTCGTGTGCCTCGCGGCGCCTCTGCTTCAAGTAGGGAAGATAGTTGTTGGTGATATCCGCGCGAGGTCATACGCCACAGGCCAGCAATCACTCGGCGATGAGACTACTGATTTGGCGCGACGCTCTGACACCGAGTGTTGCTCGACGCTGCGACACCGCTGAGTACCGCGTGCAGCGCTCAACCTCGCGGAGTACACCTCTCGCTAACTCGCTATCATCCCGCTTCGCGGCGGTCGGGCTGCTTGATTTGTCGGAAGACACCGACATCTCTGCTGCTCGAGGAGAGCTTCCGATAATCATAGTGGGTTCGCGATGGACCAGCCAGGGGGGCGGCGGCGGCGAAGAGGCGGGAGCTGGGTCCAGTGCGCTCTGCTGCTGGGGGGGGGTCGCCCTCCCCCCCCCCAGCAGCAGAGCTCTGCTGCTGGGGGGGTCCGGACCCCCCTCCCATTGATCACCTGCATAGTCGCGGCCTTAGTATCAAGCATTCAGTGACGACCTGATCCGACGGCCAGTAGGAAGGTGTCCTTCCATCGTGTGCACGCTTCTAATGGCGCAATGCGCGTCGCCTCGGATTGGCTGCTGGCACTCTCGAGGCTATGCCTACACAGCCTCGCGCGCATGGGCAGTCAAGAGGGACCATGCACCTTCTCAGGACAGCGCCGGTGCCTCTCTCTTGGACCGGCAAACGTGGTGGTCTCGTGTCACCAATGTGGGACCAGTGCGGCATCGCGCCATCGACAGCTCTGAACTGCGCCTCACCACTGACCGGGAAGGCCGCCAAGTGGGTCAGCACCGGTCGCACATTGTGGCAGTAGTCAGTAGTGCATGTATGATAGCTAGAGCAGCAGCGTCAGGGTCGCAGGGTCGGATCGTGTCAAGCCTCTCGCCCGGCCGGCCGCGTGCAGACGTCGGCCTGTCTGCTGTCTGGAGTGATCTGTCGGCGGTCAGTACGACCGATCAGGTTGGAGTTTTCTGATGATTAACCTAGCTTAATCGGGAAGCTTGTAGTATGAGCGAGTATGAGCGCCGGAGCCCCGTTTCCGCACTGCTGCGCGGCGCACGGTGCCTCCGGGGGCCCCCGCCTCCCCCCATCGCCCGGCCGGCCGCGTGCAGACGTCGGCCTGTCTGCTGTCTGGAGTGATCTGTCGGCGGTCAGTACGACCAATCAGGTCGGAGTTTTCTGATGGTTGGAGGGTCTATCTGTATGTGCTCCTCGAGATCTCTCCAAATCTGCCCTCTACTTAACCGTACTTAATCGGGAAGTTGGTGCTAACGGAGACTAACGGAGCCGGAGCCCCGTTTCCGCACTGCTGCGCGGCGCACGGTGCCTCCGGGGGCCCCCGCGCCCCCCCAGAGGGCCTCTGGCGACAGAGAAACAAAGAAAAGTGAAAATCGGAGAATCGCCTTATAAACCACCTGTCAGCAGAGCTTCGAAGCCGTTGTCGAGGCCGTCACCCGTCTTGGCGGAGCAGGCCTGGATGTGAACCCAACGGTCCTTGATAGCGGTGATCTCAAGGCTTTTCATGATCTCTGCGGCCGTCGCCGCGTTGAGCAGGTCCTGACACGAGGGGGCGGGGGCGCGCCGAGGCGTCAGCGGGGGGGCGGGAGCAGATAACTGTGTTGTTGTGATGGAGCAGGAGGGCATGCGCCTCGCGCTTAGGGATCCCTACCTGCTTGTTGGCAAAGATAAGGACCGGGACCCCACTCAAGGTCTCGTCCTCCATGAGCTCCTTCAGCTCCTCGGCCGCCTCGTCCATACGGCGCTTGTCCGCCGAGTCGACCATGTAAACGATCGCATCCGTGTTCTGGAAGTAGTTCTTCCAATACGGCCGGATGTGCTTCTGGCCGCCAATGTCCCAAACGTTGAGCTTGAAGCCGGCGGTGGTGACCGACTTGATGTTGAAGCCCTGTGTCGGCGTGATTGACTGGATATCCTCGCCCGCGAGCTGCTTCAGGGCTGTCGTCTTGCCAGAGTTGTCGAGGCCAAGCATCAGCATGCGCAGCTCCTCATCATCCCCCTTGAGGTTGCGCAGGAGCGAGAGGAGACCCTACGCGGCGGGGGCGGAAGGCGGTGGGCGAGGCTGAGCGCACCGGAACGCGCGACGGGGCGAGACTGGCGGGGGCAATACTCCTTTTCAGCCGCGACGAACGACGCCTTGAGCGCTGGCGCCGGGGCCAGCGCATGCGTGGCGAGGGTGCCAACTACCGCCCCGCCTGCAATGGCATCGGTGCTAACTGTGCAAGGGAAATGCGGCGGGAACAGGGCGTATAGATGGCGGTTGCGCGCGCCAAAAGCGGCTGTGACGACGAGAAGCGTCTTCGCGGCACTGCCGCTCTGGTTCTCTTGGATCATGGCTGCTTTGGGCGCTGCTTCGCCGATATCCTCGGGTCTTTCGGGGACGGACGGAAACTCGTCTGTCGCCCTCCTGGCCCAGGCCCATCAGTAGCACGTCACCCCGAGTTCATTTTATATGCAGTAGCACGTCTGAGCCGTCCCAGACCGCACTTACCTTGGGTCTGCAAGCTCACACCGGCTCGTGATGCCACGGAGAGGGCTCGAGATTGTCTTCGGTGGACCCCATCCGAGGCGATTGCGAGGGCTTTCCGGAGGCCATCACCGGCGCCACCGACCGTGAAATGTCTCGTCCCGCAGACCTCATGCACCAGGCGCATGGATGCAGTCATAATATGTAGGCCTTGTCTCCCGAAGTCCTGAGCAATAGCCGCAAAAGGTGCTTTTCGGCAGTTCATCGCGACACGTCCAGGTGCCGACGAAGCGGCTTCCCAGCTCACCACCTCGCCTTCTCTGTCGCTCTTCTGGCCCAGGCCCATCAGTATCAAGTCTGAGCTCTCCCAAACCGTCCTTATTTTGGGTGATGAAGCCCACTATGGCTCATACAACGGCTCTTACGGCCTCATACACGCCCGCGGTTTCACCCACAGACACCGCCGGCACGCACTCCCACTTCACACATGCTCAAGCCCTCCCCACCAAAGCACAGCCCTGCTCAGAATGGGCAAGGGCTACCACTTGGTGACCCAGGTAGCCTCTGGCTCGCCACTGCACTCGGCTCCTCTGCAGCTGTCTCGGGCTCTCTCCCCACGACAGCACCCCGACGGCAAGCTTTGACGCCCGTCTGGTGGGCCTGCTGTGTCCACAGCCGCCCCTCACATGCAGCTCGTACCATGACTCGACGATGGTCCCTCTCATCCCGGTCGTGGCGGCGTGTGTGAAGGATGCGCGGCCGAGCCGCTGGCTGGCGCCGCTTGAGCGTCCGAGAGCAGCCTCCAGCAGGCGGAATGGGTCGCGGTGCATGTCGAGCAAGTTTGTGCAAGAAGAATAGTGTCGCTCAACACGCGCAGGTGTCCAGCGAAGAGAGCGAAGGCCGAAGCATGCCATCTTGAAGGGGCCGACCATGCTGGTGAAGAAGGGCACTCCAAGGGCGGACAAAGCGAACGGGATCAGTTTTGATGAGTTGTCCTTTTACGGAAAGCAGATTTGAGGACGTTCTTACATTTTAATGAAGGCAATCACGGACCGACCAACAGTCCGTCCTTCTGATATATTCCCCTCCGGTTTCAATCTCGGAGATGCATCGAGGTTGTCAATCAGTCAATCTGTCAGAAGGATCATCAGTCAGTGACGAAACTGAAATCAATGGCCGCTTCTGTCCCCTCTAGTCCCATCCATTTCTTCACTTGCAGCCAGCACGATGTCGTCAACCGTTCGTGTCTTGGCCGTTGTGTTTGCAATCGCAATGCGTCGGTCGGCGTCGTCATAAATCTCCAACTCCGACATTTCGATGTTTTTCGTTTGCGGCGTCCAAAAATGCACTTAAACGTCGCCCGACCGTGTTTCTGAGCGTCTTTTTGGGCTATTGCAGTGCGTAGCACTGCTAATAGCACTGCGATAGTATACCAATAGTATATCAGTAGAGAGAAGTAAGAAGAGAAAGAATGCTGATATTTAGAAGAATTCAAAGGCAGAATTACTTTTACGCTTCGACAGGCGGACATCTTGGACGTTCCGAAATCTTACTGCGGCCGATAAAACACAGCCAACAACATACCTAAAACCTAAAAACACAGGGCGTGAACTTCACGGGGCGAACCTGACATGCGTCGCACTCGACAGCTACAGCAATATGGCGGAAGCGCGGAGCCACAAAGCAGAACAAGCGCGGTCAACACACACCGGAGAACGCGACCGAATTGACAACGTCAAGAGCAGCGGTTGAGGGCCGCGCGCTACTCTCGGACATGTTGCGCTGCGCTACTCTTTCTATGCTTGCACTGGCGTCGCAAGCGTCTCGTCGACATGTTTCACCTCCTCTGGGAGCTCCCCACAATCACAGCCGGCGAGCCACACGGACTCCACGCCGTGCATGGGATGTCGATGCGCTCAAGCAGAGCTTCAACTGGGCAGCCTCGTATCCCTCGACTGATACGCAATACTCACCGCATACCGCGGCACAAGTGGTGCTCAACAGAGCCGCTACTTAGCGCGCTACCCGCTCTTCTCGGAGTAACGGACACAGGTACAGGTCCCCGATGCCAGGGCTTGCCCGGCACAGCAGAGGCAGGGCTGCGAACGGATGTTGAAGCAGACATGTATCGTTGCGGCTCACAGAGGCGGTGCTGCGAACGGAGGTGAGACTGCGGCCCAAGGTGAGACTGCGGCAGCCAAAGGAGCGGCTGCGGGTGAGAGAGACAGAGCTGCGGGTGTGGCTGTGCAAGTCGAGGAGGGACGCGGGCGAGCATCGCTGTGCGAGGCGAAACAAACGGGGCAGACATGTCTCGTTGTTGCGGGGCTGAGAACAGAGGCGGAGCTGCGGCACACAGAGGTGAAGCCGCGGCAGCCGAAGGCGCGGCTGCGGGCAAGAGAGATAGAGCTCCGAGAGAGGCTGCGCAAAGCAAGGAGGGGCGCCGGCGGCCCTGTGAGGGAATAGACCTGCTCAGAGGCAGCCGCATGAGAGCGTGTACTTGAGTAGCGTGTCCATATGTGGTTCGAACGGATAGGGTTGGTTTGCGTTCTTCGCTAACTTCCAATCGTACAAATCACTAACTTTAGTCACGCCCGCTGCCCGAAATTTGCCACAATTACACGCCTCCCTCTCGTCGAATCGGTCTGTCCAGGCCTCTCCGCAGACCGCGCCTCTCTAGTCATCGCTGCGACAATGTGTGTGTGCGCGCTCGGCCGCGCGGTGCTCATGGAGCACGTGGGACATCAGACAGCAGGCATCTGCCTCGCGCTGTCAATCAGACGTTCCACGGTCGCCTCCGCTTGCATAGCACGCGCATTTGCCGCCTCCGCCAGTGCCGTGAAGGAGTCATCCCCGCCCCCCATGTCGGCCATCCCCGCAGCCCCCTCTGCCAGCCCCTGGTTGTAGTCAATCCGCGCCTGGGCACGATCACGCAGACTGTGCATGGCGAGCTGCCTTTGAGTGTAGAACGCCTCACGCTGCAGCCCGAGCGTCTCGCTGTCGAACAGATTGCGCGCGCTCTGCTCGCGCATGGCGTCGGTCACGACAAACTCACTGGGGCGCCTGCGATGCGCACCCTTTCGAGGGTTTCCGGTCGAGTGAGAGTGCACGAGGGCAGCGCGGCGTATGTAAGCGTAGGACCAGGGCTGGGGGACACATGGCCTGCACTTCGGCCGCCGCCCCAGCGAGGGCGGCCCGCCCTGCAGCGACGACGTCCGAGAGGGCCAGCGACGGGACGCCGTGCTGGTGCGGTGCGGCCGTCGAAGACGACGATGCAGCTGCCGACGATGATGCCTGCGCTTGCGTTCGAGCATCCCCCCGCGCGTCGCCCCTCGCTCGCACAAACGCCGTCTCTAGCTCCTTCATGTGCTTGAGTGTGACCTGCACTACGCCGGGCTGTACGGAGAAGAAGAACCCGGCGGAGCAGGTCTGCTTCTACTGCAAGCAGGGGCGCACCGGCCACATCGACGAGGCCATGGCGGGGTCCAGCAGCTCGCTTTGAGCCTTTCCTCTTCACGAATGCAACTTCACGCTCCATCTCCATCCACGGTGGACCCTTTGCGGAGACTCGGTCGTGTGACCGTGTGTGTGACGCACCTTGGATCTTGAGGACGGTGCGTTGTTGGTACCGAGCAGCAGGGCGAGGGAAGCATCTAGCATGCCGTCGCCTCGCCCGCTGACGACCGGGTTTGCCTCGGACTGTGCTTGTTTCTGTCCGTTTAGGGTCTTTGTGTGGGTCTTCGTGCTCCGGGTTGGTGTGCACGGTCCGTGCGGAGAGCCTGTCCGCTGTCGTCATTGTTGTTCCGTGTCTTAGTGTAGCAGAAGTTCGGTCGCACTTTCACGCCGAGGGGCTAGCGAGCCCCATCCCGCTCGAGAACCTCGAGAGGAGGACCTTTGGCCGCGGCGTCCGGAGCTTTGAGCGTCGAACATCGGCCGCCAGCTAGGCCATCGAGCGACGATGATGATCCAGCCTCCCTCAGGCCCGGTCGTCGAGCCCACCTTCATCCTCTGCCAGATGCGCGCTCTCCTCTCGCACACCACCGCCACCGCTTCTGCCTCCGCCGGCGGGGACGCGTGCGCCGCGGCGAGCGTCATCTGGGACCTGAGCGCCAACGACGAGGCTGCCGAGTACATGTTTGCGCACGGACTGCTGCCGCTGCTGCTGCACCTCGTCGAGGCGTCCCTGGCGCCGCAGAGCGAGGCCTCGGAGATCGCGGCCAGCGAGAGGATGCTCGAAACCTGCCTCGGCACGCTCGCCAACCTTGCCGCGGCACCGGCCGTGTGTGACGCGATCGAGGCGCGCGATGCGTGGCCGATGCTGTGCGGCGTGCTCTTCCGCACCGCGGACTCCTCGGCGCTGCACGAGTGGCTGCGGCTCTCCGAGGTGTGCTGCTCCGCCCTCGCCGCCCACCGCCGCTCCTCTGGGTACGCGGCGCGCTGGCTGCGTGCCATGACGAGCGGCGACTCGCTGCGGCGGCTGATGGAGGTGCTCGAGAACACGCGGCGGAGGGAGCTGCTGCTGCGAGGTGTCGCCCTCCTCGCCGCAGCGTCGTACCTCGCAGAGGCGGCCGCGACGCCAGATGAGGCTTCGGGCGAGCCGCCAGCGACCGACCGCACGGTCGCTGAGCCCGGGGCCGCCGAGGCGAGCGGAGAGGCGGCGGTGGCGGTGGCATCTGAGGCGGCGGAGGCGGAGGCGGCGGAGGCGGAGGCGGCGGCGGAGGAGGCGGAGGAGGCGGAGGCGGCGGAGGCGGCGGAGGCGGCGGAGGCGGCGGAGGCGGCGGAGGCGGCGGAGGCGGCGGAGGCGGCGGAGGCGGCAGAGGCGGCAGAGGCGGCGGAGGCCGCGGAGGCGGCGGAGGCGGCGGAGGCCGCGGAGGCGGCGGAGGCGGCGGAGGCAGCGGAGGCGGCGGAGGCGGAGTCTGGTCCCGCGCGTTTTGGCGCGGCGCTGCTGGCGGCGGGAGGGTGGGCAGTCGTCCGCGGGCTGCTCGCCGAGCACTGGCGGGATGGGGAGCTGTGCCGCCCGCTGCTCGAAGTGCTCGAGGAGCTGCTTGCCGCTTCCGCCGTCGCAGGCGACGGAGCAGGCGCCGCCCTCTCCCTTCCCTCGGAGGACGGCGAGCTCTGTTCGGTGCTCAGCCTGATCGCCGACCACGCCGCCGACTTGTCGCTGCACAGCGCGTCGCTCGCCGCGGCGCTGCTTGCCCAGCTGGTGTGTGCAGCTGCGGAGCGCGGCGCCACCGGCGGCGGTGGCGGCGGTGGCGGCGGTGGCGGCGGCGGCGGCGGTGGCGGCGGCGGCGGCGGCGGCGGCGGTGGCGGCGGCGGTGGCGGCGGTGGCGGCGGTGGCGGCGGCGGCGAGGTGCCCGCCCCTGCCCCCTCCCCTCCTCCGCCTGGCGCCGCGCTTCGGCTGCTGAGGCAGATCGAGTCGGCCTTGGAGGGGGAGGAGGAGGAGGGGGAGGGGGAGGGGGAGGGGGGGGGCGGGCGCGGGGGCGGGGAGGGAGGGGGAGACGGCGTCCTGCACGAGGGCTACCGAGCGTGCTGGTGGCTGCTGCACGCCTGCTGCGCGAGGCTCGACGGCGTCGCAATCAGCTTGGGCAGCTCCTCAGCGGGCAGCTCCGCGGGCGGCGCGAGCCTGGGTGGCGGCGCGGGCGGCGAGGAGGCGCTGGAAGAGGTGCTTTGGCCGTCGCCGCCGGGGAAGCCTTCCCGACCTCTCCCGGAACCTTCCTGTAGGCGTCGTTTGAGTGGCTCTTGGGCCGCACGCGCAGCTTGGGCCGCAGCGCGCTCTGGGCGCAGAGGCACGCGCGGCTCGGAGCTGCGAAGACGGCGGAGGCGGCGCTCACCGCGCTGCATGAGGCCGCGGACGCCGTCGCCACGGCCTCGCCAGGGCGCGGCGGAGGCGCCGTGATGAGCGGGCTGAACCAGCTCTCCAGCAGCCTCGCGGCACTCAGCGGCGGCGCCGCCGCGTCGCCGTCGCCGAGCGAGCACGGCGCCGAGAGACTCCCGCCCGAGATTGCCCACGGTTGCCCATGATCACCGGACATCACCCGAGATCACCCGAGATCACCCGAGATCACCGGCCTGGTCTGGACGCAGGCGACCGCGCGCCCCACGAGTGGAGCAGCGGCAGCGACGGCGCCCTCTCGGACGACAGCGGGCTGAGCTGGGCGGAGCCTGACATCGACGGCGGGGACGCGGCAAGCGCCGCGACGACGGAGGAGCGGTGAGAGACATATTTGTAGCCGAGGGGAGTTTACGTTTTAAGCCAAAGAACGGGCGGTATCAGACGCATACAGCGACAGGCCGACAGCATTACATACACTACACATACCGCGATCGTTCCTGCTGTGACGAATGCGCGTCAGTCGTCACACACCGGGAACCTAAATGTGTGCGGCATTTGCGGTTACAGAGGTGGCCTAATTGAGGGACAAGTCCAGCGCCAGCGGCGGAACGCCTACGGCGGTGCTGGTACTACTATCTCCTTTTTGTCGTAGGCACCGCTCAGAGATCTGCGTGCGGAAAACCGCAGCCAGCACGAGCCCTAGCAGGCAGGGAATGCCAAGGCCAAGGCCTAGCCCGAGCCCGAGGGCAAATGCAGTGCTGCTCACCGACTCCTCGAAGCCGACTGGGTAGCGCTGCGCCAGTGCTGGCGTGAAGGAGACCGAGACTTCGGATTCGCCTTGCTGTGGCAGCGCCTCGTCGACGGTGGATGCGTCGGAAGAGAGCGAGCGGGCGGTGGCAGAGAGCAAACGGCGGCGGTCGCCAAACTCAATGCCGATGATGGTCAGAGTCTGGCTCCCGAGGAGAAACGTGCCACCCACGTCAAGGCCGCATCGGAGGTGGTTGACTGAGATCTGCGTGTCGCTCACGGAAGCGGCCTTCGTGAGGTGCATTGGGGCTGGGTCGCATGGCGGCGGTGGCGGCTCAGGCGGTGGGGAGGGCGGTGGCGGCGACGGCGGTGAGGGTGAGGCAGAGGGCGGCGGCGGTGAGGGTGAGGCGGAGGGCGGTGGCGGTGAGGGTGAGGCGGAGGGCGGTGGCGGTGAGGGTGAGGCGGAGGGCGGTGGCGGTGATGGCGAGGCGGAGGGCGGCGGTGGTGATGGTGAGGCGGAGGGCGGCGGTGGTGAGGGCGAGGCGGAGGGCGGCGGTGGTGAGGGCGAGGCGGAGGGCGGCGGTGGTGAGGGCGAGGCGGAGGGCGGCGGTGGTGATGGTGAGGCGGAGGGCGGCGGTGGTGATGGTGAGGCGGAGGGCGGCGGTGGTGAGGGCGAGGCGGAGGGCGGCGGTGGTGAGGGCGAGGCGGAGGGCGGCGGTGGTGAGGGCGAGGCGGAGGGTGGCGGCGGCGACGGCAGCGACGGCAGCGACGGCGGCGACGGCGGCGACGGCGGCGGAGCAGGAGGCAGCAGCGGGGGCGACGGTGAAGCTGGCGGTGGGCGAGGGGAGCACTCTGCTGGACACAGCTCGTGAAGCGTAGAAGATGAGTCGAAGCCGGCCGGTGGAGCAGCCGATTGGCAAGAAGATCCTCCCAATACAAGAAGATCCTCCCAATCCAGCGCGCATGAGATGCCGAAGTCAACAACTACTTCCTCGCAAGAGCATCCGCACACATAGATGCTGGAGCTGTCGGAGCTGCTGGAGCTGCAGGAGCTGCCGGAGCTGCCGGAGCCGCCGGAGCTGCTGGAGCTGGAGGGTGGCGGTGGGGAGGGTGGCGGTGGGGAAGGTGAGGCGGAGCTGCAGCAGTAGTTGTAGTAGGTGACACACTCGGGAGTCGCCATGGCCTCCAATTCGGAATTGTCGTTGGAGCTAATGATGGTAATCGCAGCTGGGTTGGCGCAGACGCAAGCAACCTGCAACGCAGCCAGGTCCGCGGCCATGCCAGTGTTCGCCATCAAGTAAGTCTGGCACGACGAAACGGCGCACAATGCAGTCCAGGCTGCCTCGACAGTTGTAGTGTCGGTCGAACTCAAACCGCTGATGGCCGCACCAAGTGTTACAGGGTCGGTGCAGGCGCAGTCGCCAAGTCCAGAGCTGACCGCGTTCAACATCGACACACCATCTTGCATGTTGCACGAGGTGGTATAGTCCGTGAGCTTGCGAACATGGTTCATCGTCGGGGTTGCAACGTCGGGACGGTGTTGGGCGAACGGGCAGCCGAGAGCGACACTAGGAGCGACGAAAGCAATTGGTGCCGTGCGGAACGCCGAAGGCTTCGACACGCAACTTGTTTTGTGTACTTTTAGCTTACTGGGAGAAAAGAGAGAGGGGGTTGTGTTCTCTAGGCCCCTAAGGGCCCTACGCGCGGCGTGAGAGCTCGGAAGCGAGCTTTGCACGGCGATCGAGGATGGCACGGTTCACCCCCTTCACCTCTGAAGTCTTGTCTGCCAACAATATACCTAAAACCCCCTTCACCGAAGCGATGGAGATGCGTTCCGCGTGGTGTGACACAAATGAGAGGCGGGAGTGGGGAGGGTACGCGGTGCGGTCAACGCCCGAGCGTTGAGCCTTGCGCGCAAGGCGGTTGATCTTTGCAACTGCTGGCGGCGAGAAGCCGCCGCCGAATGTCTCGTGGAGAAGCAGGTTGAACTTGTTTCGTTTGGTGAAGATCCCATCATGGTAGTGGCCACGCTGTGACTTGACGTAGCCTTGGCCGGTGGTGTGGTCGAAAGCCCGTTGACCACGGAACCCGCGTTGCTTGCAGCCCATGTTTGCAAGGGCGCGCTCTTCGGTGTTGCCGAAGGCGAACTTGTCTCCAACGGAGCCGGGGTTGCCTCCGGTGTCGGCGCGGCCGACCCCAACGGGCAAGCCACCCCGGAGGGGGGTCCAAAGTTTGACCTCGCTGATCTCGTCTTTGCCCCCGGCTCAGCCAGGTCGGTTTTGTAGCCCTCGTTGAACTGTTTGGTGAGTTCTGGTTTTTCGGCATCTCCCATCACGGGCCGGGAGACGGAGACGTTTTGTGTGCTGCTGGCGTCCGGGTCCCCTCAGGGTTCACCTAACAAACCTAACAAAGCCGCACGAATATTCTGAGACTCTTGTCCCCCCGCATTTGCCGGCGAAACGGCACGGAGCTGCAGGCTCCATGTTCCTCCACTCGGCTCTACTCGGGACGAGCTGCGACCCGTGCGGCGCATCTGCCTCCTACACCGAGACTATCGACGCCAGCGGTACGCACCACAAGCGGACGATTGTCAGCAACGGCTGCCCAAACCACTACAACCTGTGCACCGGCAAGAGCGACGCCGCGGGATGCGGCGCCATCGGCGTGGAGGGGACTGCGACCGAGGCTCTCGAGATCGCCTATCAGATAGACATCCCTGCCTACCCGGTTCTCGCGACAGAGAACGACGCCTGGCCTGAGTGTGAAAAGGAAACCATCGCGATGGCTCTCAATGGCGTGCCAATCTACTCGGGTGCCGTGGGATCGGGCGATTGCGACATCCTCGACCTCGACGACGCAAATGCCGAGTGGACCTCGTTCGACTTTTGCGGCGGGCACGCTCGCTGCCTCGCCTTTGAGTGTAACGGCGACTACCATTACCACTTCCCGCCGTCGTGCCTCGAGACGCAGATCGGCAACCTGACCGACGGGCACTCGCCCCAGATCGGCTGGTCCCTCGACGGCTTCCCGATCTATGGGAGACTCGGCCCTGGAGGTGTCACCATGGAGCACACGGCGCAGGGCTGCACCGGCACCTACTGCCTGGACGACTGCTCGGGCTTCGAGATGGTCCCCTCCCTCCCCTCCCCGTCACCGACGCCCCTCCCCGCCGCTGCTCACCGACAACCTCCCTCGCTGCTACAGGAGATCCCTGGCCTCGATGAATTCACGTACCGGTACTACTTCAATGGCCCTCTGTCCGACCTCGTCTCCCTCCCCACAGATCCCAAGCCGTCCGCCTCCGACTACCCCTTTGCCATGAAGTGCTACCGTGGGTGCACCTATGCCGACTTGTCCGCCGGGGCGGCAAAGTGTAGCGGGGGGTCTTCAGGCTACACGAACGCTTACACGGCGACAGCGCTGGCTGGAGTGACGGACATCTTTTACTCGGAACCCTCGATGGCCGCTGGTATGGGCTGCACGGCGGCGTCTCCCTCGCCGCCGCCGTCTGCCGCTTCTCCCTCGCCGCCGCCGGCTGCCGCTTCTCCCTCACCGCCGCCGTCGCCATCGCCGCCTCCGCCGTCGCCATCGCCGCCACCGTCGTCGCCATCCTCCTCCTCTTCTAGCTGCGGAGCCGGCTGCATTGGCGGCATCATCGGCGGCTGCTTTGTTCCCGTGCTCCTGCTTGGCCTGTGGGCGAGCGGCGCGTTTGGCTCCAAGTGCCCGTCGCCCGTTCTCAAGCCGCAGAAGGGCGCCATCCCGAGCTCTTGAGGAGCGTTCCGAGCATGATGAGAGGGACGAGAGATGACCAGATGGGCCTTGAGCGAGCGGCGCACGTCGCACACACGTGTCACGTCCCGCTCATTGGTCATTGCGCGGTGTGAAGTAGTGAAGAGCGGACACTCGCGTGGTCCGTGCACCGTGGAGAGCACGCGTGCGACGTGAGGGGAGGGAGACGAGATCTCGAGGTGAGTAGACCAAGAGGGAGCGTGTCTCGCAGCGCAGTAACTTTTTACGTGGGCGGCGGTTCGCCAAGAACCGGCGCCAACACCCACCACACCGCAACAAACGCGAGACCCACGGCAATCGCCATCGAGCGCCCCGTCGGCGTCGCTAGCCCTGTTGCAATGCACGAGGAGGGCTGTCAGTGCATGCGAATGGTGTGGGTGGGCTCGCGAGCAGCGCACGGGCCTGCCTGCACCGGCAGCTCTGGCGTAAGCGGCCGAAGCAGCGCGACGACCTCAGACTTGCGCGCCGCGGATGCAAGGTCGAGGGGCCGCTTGCCGCGGGTCTGTCTTGCGGACGGGTCGGCGCGTCGGTCGAGAAGGAGCCGAGCCACGGCCACGTGGCCGCCCTGCGCGGCGGCGTGCAGGTAGGTGGAGCCGTCGACTGCCGCTCGCCCCACGTCCGCCAGCGGCAGCAGGCGCTCGACAAGTGGCAGGCAGCCCGACAAGCAGGCGGCGTGCAGTGCGTCCCAGCCCGCTGAGTCGGTTGCAACGAGCGAGGCAGCCTCAGACGCGCAGCGGCGCAGCAGCACGTCGGCCACGCCCTCGTGCCTCTGCGCCGCCGCCCACATCAGCGCCGTCTTGCCGTACCGGTCGCGCGCGCCCGCGCAAGCACCGCCGTCGAGGAGCGCCCGCACGCATCCGGGATGCCCCGCGGCGGCGGCGAGAAGTAGGGGCGTGAAGCCGTGCTTCTCATCGGGCGCGTCGATCCGCGCCGCGCCGGAGGAGAGCAGGGAGCACAGCTGCGTCGTGTCGCCGAGCATCGAGCACTGCCGCAAGGCGCCGTCGACGCGGCCGCACGCGTCGACGAGCGCCGACTGCAAGCCGCGCTCCGCCGGCGAGCCCACCGCAAAGCCAAGCGCGCGCCGATAGGCGAGCACAGAGGCGGTGTACTGCTTGAGGCAAAACAGAGCGGAGCCGCAGATCGCGTGGCCGCGGTACCAGTCTGGTGTCAGCCGGACGATCAGCTCGCCGTCGTGCAGGCAGGCCGCGTGCTTGTCCAGACGCGCGCAGGCGCCCGACCGGGCCTCAAGCAAAGACACGTCGTGCGGCGAGAGGGCGATGGCTTTGGTGAGGGCCTCGACGGCCCCAAAGTGGTCGCCCTGAGCGTTGAGCGACGCCGCGAGGGCGGCGAGCTCGGCCACCTTGCAGCCTGTGCGTCGCTCGGCCTCTCTCCGATGAAGCCGGGCTGCTTGCACCTGCGAGAGAAGCTCCGCCTCGTCTTCGTCGTCGTCGTCGTCGCTAGCGTGCGCTGCTCGGCGTCTGGCCATAAAGGCGTGGGTGTTGGCAGCTTCCATGTGGCGATTTCGTGGCAGATTGTGGCGACCCCTGATCCGGGGGTATTTCGATTTCGGACGCCCCCCCCCCCACCCCCCCCACCCTTCGTGTAATCATGTAGTCCCCACAATCGCTGACGTGGGATCGCTTGTCATGTGAGAGAGTGCGTTGTGTTCGTGTACTTTTAGCTTACTGGGAGAAAAGAGAGAGGGGGTTGTGTTCTCTAGGCCCCTAAGGGCCCTACGCGCGGCGTGAGAGCTCGGAAGCGAGCTTTGCACGGCGATCGAGGATGGCACGGTTCTCTCTCTCTGAAAGAAAGAAAGAAAACAGACAACCCAAGGGAGGGATGGGAGGACGGCACGCCGCCACCACACAGGGATTTTAAGGAGAGGTGTGTGGTGCGCTAGCCGTCGCCCACCCTAGGGAGTCTGCCTCTTCCTATCTCTCTTCGCAGTCTCTCTCCGATTCTCGCTGCAACCTTCTTCATGCCACCTCGCGGTCGTCCCACTCTCGTCGTTCTCTCCCTTGTCATTTCCTCCTCTGTCGCGTCGTTCCCTTCTGCCTCGTCCTGTGACGCCGCCGCCTGCCGGCCCCTTGTTCTCGCGGCTTCTTTCGCCTTTCGGCGCAACTCCGTCCTCCTCGCGGCGTATCCTGGCCCCTCGAGCTATCGAGCTCCCCTCGCGCAAGGACCACGTTTCTGACTCCCACTCCGATCATTTGCCTACACTCTCTCTCTAACCCGCAGTTTTCTTTCTTTATCTCGCCACTCTCTCGGCCTGTTGCTCCCCTCCACTCAGCCTGAAATGGCAGCAGCCATGAACGGGATGATGTCCTTCACGGGCACGATGGAGGAGGAGTTTGCCCACGGCTCGGTCGGCACCATGTTTTTGCTGATGGGCCTCTCCTGGTATCTGCTCTCAGAGTACAGCGGGCTGCAAAACGGGCTGCTCTGCTTTGCGATCTGGGCCGGGTTTTGGATCCCGACCGTCGTCATGGGGCTCAGGCACCTGATCCGCAAGGCGCAGCAGGAGGTTGCCGAGGAGGGCGAGAAGCGGCTACCGTGGCTACGAAAGCAGGCCGCCGGCGCTGCGATCGTCGCCAAGCAGAAGCGAGAGGAGGGGGACGACGAGGCGGCCGAGGCGGCGGAGCGCGCGGCCGCGGACGCCAAGGCGGAGATTGCGGAGATCGAGGCGCGGGGCAAGAAGTTGCCAGTGGAGATGGTGGAGGCCAAGAAGGAGAAGTGAGACTGAGAGGGGCCGCTGTGTGGTGTGCTCCGCGCAAGTCTCTCCGTGCGGCCCTCGCTCCGTGCACGCAAGGACCCATGTCCTACTCCAGCGTAGGGTACGATCCGATCTCCCGGGCGCATGTAACTGCTGTATTCACTACTGTATACTTTTGGCCTACGTAGAAAGCGAGAGGGGACTGACCGCAGACCGGAGCTCGAGCTGTAGTATGTGCGCGCGCGCGAGACACAGCCCGGCGCTCTCTCTCTCGACTCTCCACGGCAATCTCGCGCCTCTGGCTCTGCAGCTCTGCCTCTCCGTCGACACCACACAGTCACGTTTCACGTCAGCTCCTCGCGTCGTGCTTCTGTCTTTCGGCCCACCGGCCACTCGCGTGGCATCCGCCAGGGGAACCGCGCGCCCCCGCACGTCGGTGTGGAGCACCGTTAGCACCTTACCTTACCTCGTCGGGCCCGAGGAAGATCGAGCGCGGTGCCGCCGCCCTTCAGTCGAAGCAGCCGTCCATCATCTCGCCCATGATCATGCCGCCGACCAGGCCGGTTGCGAAGCCGCCGCCGTCGAAGCCGCCGCCGTACACGGGACCGCCGTAGTAGCCCCCACCGTAGATGACTGGCGGCGGCGCCTGGTGCACGATGACCTGCGGCTGCTGCGGCTGGTGGTGGTGGTGGACGACGGTCTGCTGCGGAGGAGGAGCGTACTGCGGCTGCTGCGGCTGCGCGTACTGCGGCTGCGCCTGCTGCGGCTGCGCGACGGGCGCCGCCTGCGCGACTGGCGGCGCAGAGGGAACCATCATCTCAAACACTTGGCCCTCGGTGAGGCCCTGAGGGACGGTGACCTGCGGCGCCCGCGCGGAAGTCTCGGTGAGTCGGTGCAAAGAGGGGTTTGGGGGGCCGAGGGCGGCAGCACCTGCATCAGGCCGGATGGCGTCTGGACTTGCAAAGGCTGCCCGCCCTTCACGCCTGCCGGGACGGTGACGCGCATCTTGGACATGGCCGGCTGCGCCACGGGCTGCGCCACGGGCTGGCCCATCTGCGGCTGCATCGCAAGACTAAGGACCGGCTTTTGCTCTGTGAAGGGACAGTACTACAAACATTTCTTCGGCGACTACCTTTACAACAAGGCCCACCACCGGCGGCCCCACGACGGCGTCCTCGCCGCCTGGGCGGACGCGATGCGCGCCCCGGCCAACGCGCCGGTCGTGCACGGCGACAAGGAGAAACCAGAGCTCACCCGGCAGTACAACGAGGGGTACAAGACTGACCTCGCGGAACCCCATGCGGGACCGGGAGGATGCGATGAGGTGAATGAAATCAAGCTCTGGACGCCCCTCCTCAAGACCTCCTCGCCGGGCGTTGGCAACGCCTCGAGTGGCGGCACGCCCGCCTCCGTTGGCCACTCCTACGCCTTCGGCAACACCGAAGAAAAGGCCCGCCGCCTAAACATGGGCTGCAAGGCGCGCGGGCAGCCCGGCCAACCCTTCGACCACAAGACCGGCCACGGCTACGTCAAGGCGCATCGCGGTTTCTACCACGACGCGATCTTTGTCAAGCGCAACAACTTCAACCTGCTGCTCCACGAGACGTTCGGCGGCGGCTTCTCGCCCACCGCCGTTCTCAAGCTGCGCCGCCTCGCGCGCAAAGTCGCGCGCGGCAGCGTCGACCGCACGGCCTACTCGCCCAAGTACTCGCTCTCTTTTATGTCCCACCATGCAGAGCGCATCTCTCTCTCTGTTGTGCGAGGCGTGAACCGCGCCATTCGCTCTCACCTGGCAACCCTGTCTGCACGTCTCGCGCGCGCGTGAACAGGGCTCCAGGCCCCAAATTACGTGTGAGTGTTAGAGTTGTTTGGTATTGCTAAAAATCTCTCTCTCTCAGTACTACGACGCGCTCCATGTCAAGAACGGAATCGTCAAAATTTGTCTCGTCGAAAGCCAGGGCGGCATCGCGCCGCCAACCAAGAGAATCATCTTCAACTTCGCCAAAGAGGTCGGCAGCCCGAGCGCCGTCGACCGCACCGACTACGGCACAGCCTCCGGCAGCGCCCGGGGCTTCGCCCAACACCACTCGCAACAGCTCTCGCGCGCCGCCGTCAGTGGCGATGCGCAAAACATCAACAACGCTGCTCGCAACATGCGTGTCGCGCACTCATTCATGACCGGTCTCAATGCCCCACCCCCCTGCGCGCGGGCCTTCTAAGCCCGCGGGTAGTCCCCCCCCATCCCCAGGGCCTCCAGGGCTCGCACCTCAACCTCTCACAGGCCAGCGCACAGCGCCATAGGAGGTCTTTTCTTCTCAATAACAAGGCTGTGAACATAGCGGGGTTGTGTTTTTGTGTGAACATAGCGCCATAGGACGTGTTTTCTTCTCATAACAAGGCTGTGAACCTTGGGTACTACCCTCCGTCCGGCCTCCCGCTCGTTAGCCCCAAATGACGTTCGTGGGTTCTCCGGTGTTGAGGGGTATGGGATGCGTTTCTCGGCAGTCGCTGCTCGCGCATGGCATACAGGCGTTCGCCAGACAGCGCAGAGGATAGGCGACCGGGGAAGGAAGGACTAAGTCGCTACTCCCAGATCATTCATCATGCAGCATGGCTCGGCTTTTGGAATGCGTTGCAGCTACCGGGCGTGGCTAGGCGGGAGGCGGTGCGCTTCATCGCCGTCAGCCAGTACCAGACGGGCGCCTTCCTCAACGCCGTCCCCTCGCGCCGCGACTTTCACGCCTTCAAGCGCGGCGTCAAAAGTGGAGTGTGGCGGCGCCCGAACTCGTGCACCGCTTGCTGCGGCACACGCCCCATCCCTCCCCGCCGGCTCGAGCGGCAAGTTGCCTACCTCGTCGGCCGCTTCGCTCGCCACGCTCCCCGCTGGCAAATCTCTGGCTTCGGCAGTTCGTTCTCCTCCTCCTCGCCTTTACCAGCAACGCCCCTCTTCGATGCGACCACAGAGAATACCTTCAACGCCGGCCGCTACGCCATCGCCGCCCTCGCGATCGCCGTCACGCTCGTCTTTTGGGGCCTCCACCGCCGCGCCCTACCCTTCGCCTTCTGCTTCCAGAACGCGCTCGAGTCGTGCCTTTACGGGGCCACCGCTCTCTTCCTCGCCCTCGCCGTGGTCTACACCGCGCTCCCCGCCAACCCTGCCGCTGCGCGAGTAAGCGTCGAGGCGCTCATGGCGATCGTGCTTCTCGGCAGCCTCATCGTCGGCGCCGTCTACTCGATCCGGGAGCTGCGGCGGATGCGTCGCGCGCTCGCTGACGTCGACCTCTCCGCCGTCCTCAGCGCCGCCGACTCCAAGATCGACGGCTCGCTCGCCGATCGGCTGCGCGACGGCTCGGTGCGGCTGCTCCGCTGCAGCTGGCTGGCGTCGCCCGCCTCCGACGCTTTCCTCGGCCGCGACGCCTCTGGCGCCGTCATCATGAAGAGGCAGCAAGACATGCCGGCAGAAGCGTTTGTGCCGTGCGATGAGGCGGTGGCGATGCTCGAGGGAGGCGACCGGTCTATACTCGCGCTCTCGTACAGCTGGCTGACAGCGCTCCACCCGGACCCTCGCGGCACTACCCTCGCCGCCGTCCGCCGCTTCCTCGATGCCGACGCGGCGGCCAGCGATACCGGGCTCTTCTGGGACTTTTGCAGCCTTCCGCAAAAGGGCCCGAACGGGGAGGAGAAGACCGATGAGGAGAAAGCCATGTTCGGGCGAGGCCTCAAAGTGATGGGGAACTTCTACGCCAGCGTCATGGGCACCTCCGTCATCCAGCAGCGCAACATTGACCTCCCGCCAGGCGCGACCACTGGGTTTGGGCCGGGAGAGTACAACCCAACGCCGTACGAGGGCGAGGGCGGGCGAGGGTGGTGCATCTTCGAGCAGGGGACCGCAATGACGGTGCTGGCGCACCTGACGGCGGCGGAGAGGCAGGCGGGGGAGGAGGGCAAGGCGCTGCCAGAGCGCTTCCGCCGCGCGCAAGCGAGCCGCGCCAAGGTGTATGACATTGGAGGGGAGGCGCCGGTGGCGCGCGAGTGCTCCCTGCCGCCAAAGGAGGTGCTGGACGAGGCGTGCCGCGCGATCGAGAAGGCGCGCTTCACGGGCAAGGCGGACAAGGTGATGGTGCCGCAGATGCTGGCTGCGTTTGAGTGGTGCTTCCGCAGCACGTTTGAGCAGGCGCTCGAAGACTATGCGACGAGCGGCGCGACGATTGGGCGGAAGGAGCAGGAGGCGATGAAAAGGGAAACTGCGGAGAGCAGCGGCCTAGACAACAGGGCGATGACGCTCAGGACACCGATGGGACGGAAGCAGTATGAAAATAGTGTTCCGGCGGCGCCCGCGGCCTTGGCGGGACAGCAGCATCCGAGTTCTCCCGCGCACTCTGGCGGACCTGCTGAGGGCCGCGAGCTAGGGTCAGCGACCAGGGGGCACGGGTGGTGCGGCCCGCGACGCGCACGGGCGCGTGGCGAGCCTTGAGCGGCTTCCCTCTCCGAGTCCCTCTCCGAGTCCTGGCCGCCGCCCGTTGCTCCGTGTCCAATGGTACTGCTGTCGCCCCCCTCCGCGTTGCTTCCCTCATTGGGAGTGTGGGGTGGTGCCCTCCGCCCACTCGGCAGCGTTTGAGCCTCTGTCACCCTGCCTGCCGCGAGCAGCTAGCTCGTCTACATAGACGTAGTCGTTCCATTTGTTGTCGCTGTGGCTAGTTCCATTTCACTCTGACACGCTAATCTTGAAAACGCGTCCAACGGAGCTCCGTGTTGCTCCCAGCGGAATCCCCCGCGCTTCCTGCGGCCATGGCCGATGATACTAGTATGAGAGGTCATCTGGCTACCGCGAGCGCGATTCAACTCGCCGACGTCGTCCGATGATTGTGCCTCAAAGTCAGCCTTCGGAGGCTATCGTGGGGTCGAGCCGGCAGTAGCCGTGACATGTGGTTCCAACACCCCTCGCAGGCTTCGCCTCTGACCGCCACCGTTCCCAGGCTGCCTAATGGGATGGAAAGGAAGGCTCGGCGAGCGTATAGAAGCGTGCTCGACCTCGTCGTGGCAACCTGTACCGCAGCGCTGGTAGGCGCGATGAGCGTCGTGCCACCTGACCCAAGACGGGTCGCAGGCGTCGTACCGAGCGTGTCGAGACCGTGTCCTGATGTGATCTGCACGGGTGAATCACGTCGGCGTCAAAGGAGGGACGTGCGACCTGTCAGAGCTTGATCTCCGATCTCAGCGGCGTCGAGTCGCCTTCGGCGCGCGACAAAGGTACATACCCAGTTGACGCGCAGAGGCAGCTGCGACCCCGCTGAGTGGACGGTCGGGTTCTCCCCGGTTGCTGTGTGCCCCCTTGCATCTCGGGGGTTTTCCCCTTCTCTCCTGTTGGTCCCTAATATTTCCCTTTTCGTTCTTTCTGT